GCAAGACTGGTCAGCCACTGAATCAACAGTTGGGCCTTCGAGCAGGACTCGACAAGTCCAGTGAGAAGGAAGACCTGCAAGGGAAGAAGAGAGTTTCAACCGAGCCGAACACTGAGCAAAAAGGAGTGTAGGCTTTGAAAGAGGCGGACATTTTAGGGTTAATTCCGGTGTAAGCACCCAGGGGATGATTGTAAAAGTCATATTTGTTTACATCGACCCGACGGGACACTGGAATAGGAACACCCCCGCATAATACAGGTGGCGTTGCGCTAACGTTCAGGAAGAGTATAAAAATCCCGTGTTGTAACTCAAACACTAATCAAAACCTTAACAACAATCCTAATTTTAACTCTAACACTAACCATACATTAACCCAGCCTTAATTTCCCTTGAATGTGGCACAAAGCCTCTTGTATTACATGAGGCGTCTGCTGCCATGATACATAAAGATTCCTATATAATAAAGTCCGATAATGATATTTAGCCCTGCGTTGCTTTGAGTTTGGGTTCAGTGAGCTAAGATGTCAGAAAACAACCCCATACACTAACAGTTCGGGTGCCTATTGGGGATACGCTTGTACGAATAAAACAGGGTAAGTGAGTGCAATATCAGTAAAGTGTTCCATAAGAGAAATGGCATATGTTGTATTAAGAATAAATGCAGGTTAGTAGATTCATCGTTCAGTCTTATCGGGTAAAAGATTGTCCCCAGTACGAAGTTAGAAGGGCAAGGCTGTGAGGACAACTTGCATGCGGAGCAGAGAACACAACAGTCTATTAACCCTAGTTTAAGAAGTAGCCGTCGTGGACCCGATAAGAATCTTGTGAAACGCCAAATGAGCAGGTCTAAATTGCCGTGTGAAATACCAACTACTGAAATGAAATAGGTTGCGAATAAAACTTCTGAGAAATGTGCCTAGGGTTCCTGAGGGATGCACACCTTGCACAGGGGTGGGGAGACGGAAGTGAATGTAGGGGCTTTGATGACTATCAGAAATTTACTGTTTGTGTATATATTCAAACTATCGTCTGGTTCCGCATCCTTACCACTCGTTTGCAAATACTACAGCCCCAGCTAAAGACTGATCACCACGCGGAAAATGATGCTACTGGACAAACAGTCTGGCCGGTCCAAAGTATAATGTAGATTCTATAGCCCATGGACTGTCAATCAGAATTCCAAAATGTCTTATCGGTTCGAACTATTTACTTGGATTTGATTAGCATACTGATTATCGTGCAGCTAAATCTGAAGATATTTTGGCCACGGTAGGATGCCGGCTTTTGAACAAGCTTTTTTATGAGGTAGAAAATCGACTGTACAATCATAAGGGTGACATGACAGAAAGACAAACTGTGACGTAGATGGGGCAACAGTAGCTTATGTAGACCCACTCATTAATCCCTACTGCCTGCATGTTTTCCTACGAAAACGGTAATTATAAGATTTTATGGGTGGAGAATTAGCACACGCAGTGGAATATACTTTAATAAGTGCTAAATGCATTTGCATTTTACTGTATTTAGAAGTGTTGTTGATTTATATCTGTAGATTTTCCT